TTTATTTATTTATCTATTTCACTTCTGTGATTCGAAAAGAAAATTTAAACAGAGTCATTGAATAACCCTGTAAGTGGTCTGGATACTCTTGGACTACTAACTATAGTAGGCAATAGCTGCTCTCTCTGTTGAGACTAAACACTAATTCAGGAAGAAATTCTAATGTAAAGAAGTGAGTTGGTTAATTTCCCTGAAATGAATTCTTATTGTGTATATATAGCCCAGAACATTAAAAGAAAATTTGAACCTGGTATTTGGTTTCCGTTTTTCCCATATCAATTACTTAAAATAATAACAACATGCCTTATTATTAACATTTTAGGCAAAACAATGACCTGACAAGAATTTTTTCATTATATTGATTGAAAGGAATCACTGGTTATCACATTTAGCCTGAGAGAAGAACACTACATCAAAGAAAACTGCTGGGATAGAAATTTTACAGCAGATTGGATTGTTTTTCCTAAAACAATATTCGTTGCTTGAAATCATTTGCCTTGAATTTTCTGCTTTCTTTTCATTATTTTCTATTCTGACTTACTTTTCTTTTCTTTTCAATTATATATTTGACCAAACAGAATTTCCCCATTCTTAAATGCCACACTGAAGCTTTTCATTAAGTGCTGAAATCTTGATAACATCTTTGTTTTGGATAGAGTTACTTTTAATAAATGCTGAAGGAAAAATGTAATATAGAATTAGAATCCAAATTCATGAATGCACCAATAACTGATTTCTTCTAACAATATCTCTACCTTGCAAAGAGAAATAGAATAGAGTTCTTTATTGACCAAGTGTGATTGGACACACAAGGAATTTGACTTGGTGCAAATGCTCTCAGTATACATAAAAGAAAAGGTACATTCGTCAAGAGTCAAAAATCATAAGGCACAACACTTAATGATAGTCATAAGGTACAATAAGCAATCAAATCATACTAGGAAACAGTCAATATTAATCGTAAGGATACAAGTGACAAAGTTACAATCACAAGTGGGAGGGGATGGGTGATAAGGAGTGATGAGAAGATTAACAGTGATAGTAGTGCAGACTTTGTAAATAGTTGAACAGTGTTGAGGGAATTATTTGTTTAGCAGAGTGATGGCTTTCGGGAAAAAACTGTTCTTGTGTCTAGTTGTTCTGGTGTGCAGTGCTCTATACTCTATAGCGTCGTTTTGAGGGAAGGAGAAGGAAAGAAATGAAGCTGAATAAGCCAGATACACTTATGATTCTGCCATTCTGTATTACAACTAATACTTTTAGAAGTGCTTAGGGCAAGAGTATTATAAACGTAGTATTAGGGTACCCTAGGGATACTTAGATGCTCCATCAACTTACTGTAAAGAAGCTGCAGTCCTTTACTAAGGTGCAATCACATAGATTTCATTGGATCATACTGCTAAATAAATGGGTTTCAAGTGACACTGAGATTATTTTTCTATGTCATCCGCAAAACAAGTATTTTTTTAAGTTTTAAAAATATTCCTATATTTTTGTATCTTTAGGAAAATAGTGCAACATTTATAAAGTATCAGTTGTATAGTGCAGTCATTCCTAGTTCTTAGTGTATATAATATTCATGACTTTCCTGGATGCTGACTTAGGGGTATCTCAAGAGCAGATGCTGGTAGTAATTAACTTTTGCAGGTCATCAGCAAAGAAATCCAGATGTATTTCTATTTCTTTGGGCAGGTGTGTTTGGAATTTGTAAGAGAGAAACACACTTCAGCTTTCAGAATGAAATAGTAAATACTCCAGCTGATTGGCAGATATTTTTGTTTGACGGTGTTAAACGTATCATTGTAGGATGTATGCTGTTCCAAGTAAAGCTGCCTTTTGCAACTGACTGGTGGTGATTTTGTCAATGCTGACGGTGTTCAGATTATTATTATTATTATTGGTGTGTAAAAGTGAGTGTTGACTCCTGGTGACTGCCTGGATTTGTCTTGCCTTATCTGTTCTACTCTATCCTCTGATTCTTTGAGCACTTGAGTTGCCCATAAAGTGGCCCTTCTATGTAAGTGCCCATTACTTGTCAATCAAGAAGCACTTGATAACTCTGCTGCTTGAGATTACTTTCTATTAAGAAATAATACCCGCTTGAAGTGGAACCCATTGTAGAAATAGTATCTTTGCCCTGTTTGTAATTGCAAATGTAATTATAAACAAGCTCTTGCAGATTAAGGCAACTTTCACTGCACATGACTTAACCTTAAGTTAGCCAAAGAAGAGTAGTATGTGCTTTTTAATCCATGCCAGATATGCATTTTTTTCTTGCTTTGGGTGCTGTTTCTGGATGTCATTTGAATGGAATTGGTGATGTCCTTTTCCTGAGCTTTGGATACTGTTCAAAACAATATGCAGGAAGACTGCTCTAATGTATATTGGCTTGCTGGTGCACATGAACAGTTCAGACAGTCAACCTTGCCACTCATTATCTTGTGTTTCCCAGGGACATGTTGCAAAAAAGCAGTTTCTATTGTCATTAACTTATGTCAATTTTGTACTGCATTTTTCCTCTTATATTCTTCGTGTCTACTGTGTTCACCTTGGTGTCCTTTTCTCCTGCCCCCTAAAAAGGAAAAAATATCCATGTTTACATTTTGAAGTAATATCTCCCAATATTTCTAGCTAGTCCTCATTTTACCAGAATATTCTTGAATATTTTGTTAACAGCAAACATGTAATCCATAAGTGACAAACTTTGACTGTATATTCAGAGGGTATTTGCCTTCTCATGCAAATTTTAGCATGCTAGAGATTCTGTTTTACCCCTTTTGTGTGCAGTAACATGCCATGACCAAGCTATTCTTGTTTTGTTTTTTAGTGTGGAAGGGAATGGATTGAGAATAGACAGAGGCGGCGTATCTTGTCCGATTCTGCACTGCTGGTGAGGTGCTGATTTTTAGGGTATTTCCATACCATTATATCCTGTTTCTGGGGTAGGAAAGGGAAATACTGTAGAAAGGCTACTGAAATTTGGAATGAAGTGTGATCTTTCATTCTATGTGCTTCTAAGTAATAGTTAGAATGAGGTTATCAGGTTAAAATTATCTTTTGAGACTAAAATTATCTTTTTAGCGTCTTCCCTGTATATTAACTTAACAAATTGTTTATGTTATAATCCATGTGTGATAATTTCTCCTGAAAACGTATTTGTGTGTTGTGCATTCCTTTATACGAAGGCAGGCAGGTAGGTAGGCAGATGGACAGTGAAACACATCTACATATAAACTAGTTTTCCATTATTATATTTTAAAGTTAAATTATGTGTAACAGCCTTTATGAACAGCTCCACAAAGCATATTTTGTTCTACTTTCTTGAGAACAGAATCACAAGAATGGTTTTACAAAAAGTGTTACTTTTTCAATTGAAAAATTGCTGATTTCCTCTCTAAAATACAGAGAGAACGGAATATTATTGTCATCACTTATGCTGATTTGCAAAATAGTTATCTTTAAATTCATTGTGTTTGTCCCATGTGCGTATCACAATCATGTACAAATCGTTCTTCCACTGATATTTGTACCATTTTTTAGGTCTGGAAAATTTAAATGTCTATGAAAATAGTTTAAAGGAGAAAGTCTTTAGACAAATAAAGTTTTCTTTTGTCCAAAATCTGTAAAAGTTATCTTGTGATGCAGTTTACCATAAATTTGGTATAAGAAGACTATTAAATACTTGGATATTTATTTCTGACAAAAAGTTAATTTTAAGAAGATTTTTCACATTCTTCTATGATAGGCATTAAATTATTTGGGGCATACAGTTTGAGAAAATTTGCTGAACTTCTTTGATTTTGATTTCATTCAACATCTCAAGTGCTCCTATTTTTATGTAATATGACCTTTCCATTTTAGTAAATTTGGTGATATGTGAGAACAATCCAGATTAATTATGGGGCAATATATTCTAGAGCTGCAATTTAAGCAAAACTTAAAACCTTAATGTCAAACATTAGTAATCAATTGGGCATGTAGGTATCAGAAGAGAAGAACAGGTAATTCCTTAATTTAGAAAGTGGTGACAGTTAATTGCCTGCAATGCAGTCTAAATTGAGAGCAATAGACAGACGCTGTTGGAGTTGTTAACATTACTTTCTAATAAAAACATATTTGATAATTCATTGTCTTGGCTTCCCTTACATTTTTCATAAAGTGTCACAGTAGCTGTCCTTTGATGCAATTTCTTTATCATCAGGAGAACATAGAAATAAATCTTTCTGAGAATATTAAAAATGGAGTCAGATGTAATAGCATAGACTTTTGTAGATTGAGTTGGTTTAAAAATGTTGCAGAAAATAAAATAAACATGGTGCCTGCCTTTTCATATAAGTGTTTGCATGAATAAAAGCACAAATTATTTTGAAAAATCTAATTTTTCATTATGAGTTTCTGTGTTATGTTTTCATACAAAAGCTTATCAGATTCACTGTCTGTGCATGTTACTGGGACCTGTAACATATTACTGGGACCTGTTTTAATTATATCTAGCTATGCATTTCCTTACAGCTAGCATGAATGTAAATATTTATCGGTATCTATGTTGAGTACAAGATACCACTATGCTGGTATCTTTAAATAAATTGAGTTGTAAGGAATAAAACTTAATCTCTGTCTGAACCCAGTTTTGATACAATATAAAGTCACTTGTATAAAAAATAAATTATTGATTTTTTAAAAGATGTAAATAGAGGATATTAAATTTTTTTGGGTGGAATTGAGTTATTAGAAATAAATACAGAAAGTGAGCAAGTACTACACTGTAGAAAAATCCAAGATATTGTTCCTGAGTTAAATGATAAGAAAATGTGATTAGATTGTCATCTATTTAGTAACATTAAGAAACATGATTGGTTAAAGACAGGAATTTTGTTGCAATATTTTAAGGTGTTGCAATATTTGAATCCCCTACAAGAGGATTGTTGTGGAGGATGAGTTTTTTATATTTCTGTTCAGTATGTCAGGTTATCTTTTTAACTTTTAAAAATACAGTTACAATTTAATTGTGGTTTCTTGCTGAATTCTTAACCATCAGCCTCATCTTAGTATTGCAGAAAGAATTGTACTGAATAAAGTAAATGCATGCTCTTATTTTAATGAAATCTTTCCAAGAGAAACATATATTGTTTAAAGCAAACACTGCAGCGATCCTAATAGTGTTTTGTTCTCTGAGTTTTTGTTGATAAATATGCTTGAGAAATACATTTGGCTAATGCACATGCCCAAACAAGTTTATATTGTATTTTTATTTCCTTTTTATTTTTCATTAAGGAATTTAGGGAAGACTCTTTAAATGTTGATTAAAAATGAAAACACAAATCAGGTTTAAATTGTTAGGTTCTTTTCTTAAACTTGTACAAAATTACAGTGTCAGTTTCCCTATTGTTACTTGAGAAGGGTTGTTGAGCAATAATAGGGAAACAAAAATTAATTAATGAATAATAAAGACTAATCAGCCTTGGTAAGTTTAAAAGGTTTAAAAGGTAAAAGATATGTTTTTGCCCAGAATAAATTATACAGTATATCTTAGTGCTAGTGTGGTTGAACTATTGGATATTATTGGGTCTCACTGCTTTATCTTATAAGGGATATATACAGCACAGTTGTAATTGTCATGCTTTCACATGACTGGTATTGGATGTATTAAGACATCACGAGAGCTAGTGCTTGATACAGGTCATCCAGCTAAGATAATTCAGTTCATTTGAAAGTGATTTGAATGATAAGCAGGTTTAAATAAGGAATAGGGTTTGCTATTATTAAGAAAAAAATTTGATTGTCACTTATCACTGAAATCTGTTTGAAGATCTGGGTGTTCCCCCAGTGTATTCATTTTCTTCTACTATTACATGGTGTAGACACCACAGTTTTCTACAGTCTTCATCTATGTTCCCTGATCATAGTTCAGAGAGAAGGAAAGACAGAAGGAGCTCAAAAGTATTTGTTTGGACATGCCTGTGCAAAAATGTACCCAAAATACTGGAGCAGTGTCTCCTGAGTTTTGTGTCTTGTTTAACCAAAGTTTCAGTAGTAGCATGTGGTGGAATCCTAGTAGGATTCATCAGCGTGCAAAATCATTTTTGTTGATTCTTTTGTTCTATCTCAGGAAAAAAGTGATGAACTTGTTACTTTGATGCAAGGACTTACAATGCATTAAAATAAAAACATAAACACTGAATTTTTACAAAAGTTCTAAAACCAATTTGGAACCTTTGTAGATTTTTGTGACAGACCAAGAACAGCAATTTTCTTCTGAAAGATCTGATGCGAAAAGGCAGGGTAGCACCCACAGTAATTCCTCATAAGTAATACTCGATAGGTAGAAGCCACATCATATTCTTTATATGAGCAATAAAAAATTAAGAATACTTTTTCCCTGTTGATTTAAGACTGCCATCTCATTAAACTATCTTAATTGACTAATTCAGTGATTCACCAATCAACAGATAATAGTGTCAAAGAATAAAGCTATTTTGTCAGATTTTAGATGTTTTTAGATGGTACATGCATATCACAAAATAAGCATTCCACACACATCTTCTGTATGTACATAAGAAAAGTGACAGAAAGGAATGTTTCGTTAGTATTTTCTAGTATTTTCTAGTCTAATTAACTACTAGTATTAAAAATGATGAAGTAATTTTTTCCAATTATTTTGTGGTGTTATATTAATCAGATAAAAAGGGTTTGGGATTTCTTTTGACACTTAGATCACCAAATATTTCAGTCCTAATTATTTTGTGGCTGTTACACATTTCTACCTGATAATCTCCTTTGTTGCTGTCCTTTTCTTGTTTAACCTGTATTGAATTTGACTTTCTTAGCTACTCATCCCTGGGCTTGTCCTGTTTGTTCTTTAAAGTTCCTTATACATAGAGATAGTATTTATATAGTTTATTGTTTACATTTATATTTACATTATAGTGACCTATTTATTATACCTTATTTAACTATCTTTGGAAAAGAAAAACCTGGTTTTCTGTAGATATCAAACTTCAGCCATTTTTATAAGTGGCACTACAAGAATACTTGTTCATGTGGAGTATTATTATTTGCTTAAGTGGCTAGGGTACAGCAGAAGGTGAAAAGAAATTCCATTCATAATGCAAAGAGAAAACCAACAACTATTTCATTCCTTTATATGCCTACATATTCTGAGGTAAGTAAGAATGTAGCCGAGCACCCTCCTCAATGCAAATCCACTGAACACAGACAGATTTCTTGATATACTGTATTTATAAATACACATGCACCTAATTTATCCTCCAAATCATATATTCTTATAGCCTGGCTCCTGGAAATTTTTTGAATACATCTTTTAAGAAGGGTGAAAATTCTAAATTCATTGTGACAGTTATGCAAAGTTGTTTTCCCCAAAGCCTAGTCAGAAAGGTATATTCAGGGACCTGTTTGGCACAAACTTGTTTCTTTTATTAGAGGAGTTGAGACAAAGGGCTTTGTTTTGGCAGATACAAAGTAGTTCAGCTTAACATATTTAGAAACCTCCTCTGAATTGCTCTGATTGCTTTTGGGGTCCCTATACTATAATACCGATAAGATGTGAATACAGAAGAACACGGCAGCCCCCTGCAGGATTTATCTAACACTGTGCAGCACACAGTTTTCAACAGAGCAAAGAGGCACGGTTGCTATGAGGGTGGAGGGTCAGTTATGGCATTTTGGTGCAGTTTTGATCCAGAATGGTAATGAAATTACACTGTGGTTTCAAAAGGTAAAATAATGCTTTCCTCTGATGTATTTGTTCAATTTTTTTTCTCTGGCATAGATCTCTAATGTTGAACGAAGCTTATCAAATAGATTCTCAAAGTGGCTATCTTTTGGTAAGGTGGGGATTCTGCCCAGCAAGATATGAGTGCAATCTCATTT